GGACACTTTAGAGTGATGATCCATAGACTAAGGGAATGATATCTGGAGACAAGAGAAGTGGTGGTGATCAACTGGACAATGGGGTACCTGGGCATGACGTAGATGGTATTGGAATAAGGGGTGAATAATTTTCTGGGTTCGGCCAGGACAGGGTTAATTTTCACTGGAATCCAGGAAGGGGCACAGCCAGGCGGGCTGACCCAACCTGGCCAAACAGAGAAGGGTATTCCATACCATGTGCCGTCATGCTGGGTTCCGGTGAGGGGGAGCTGGGCGGCGGGAACTCATTCTCGCTGCTCGGGAGGGCACAGCCACGGTTCAGTCTGAGAGAGCAGTTCTGTTCTGCTGGTTTGTTTTGTGTACTCCCATTATCTGTATCGTTGTTGTTGCTGTTCCCTCTGTTTGCTGTTCTGTTAAACTGCCCTTATCCCGACCCACCGGTTTTCTGCCTGTTTCTTTCCATTCTCCTCCTCACCCCGGCAGGGGGAGGGCGGCTGCGTGGTGCTTTTGTTGCCGGCGGCAGCCAAAACCAGAACACTCGGGACTCCATTTCATTAACTGATTACTTCCACAGGAAGTCATGAACATAAGGAATATTTACAAGTTCTGCTGTCTTAAATGTTAGCACCTTCTGTCTTTTAAGCTGGCCAAAGGCATTTCCCAGCAGCCTCCAGGAAGGTGCCGGGACTCCATTTCATTAACTGATTACTTCCACAGGAAGTCATGAACATAAGGAATATTTACAAGTTCTGCTGTCTTAAATGTTAGCACCTTCTGTCTTTTAAGCTGGCCAAAGGCATTTCCCAGCAGCCTCCAGGAAGGTGCCCTCAGACAATGCCCTGTCTCTATGAACTGCTCCAGTGGAGCTTGCAGTTACCAGCACGCATCTTGGTCACCTCTGGTACCAAACATGTCACCAGGTGTCTATGTCTGAACATCTTCCTCCTGCCCTCCACCTCCAATAACTAGCAAGGGAGCTGAGCCATGGAGCTCCCATGCAGAAGCCTGTTTAATGCTGTCTGAACTGAGGCAAGATAAATCCCACATGCTGTGGGTTTGTGTTGTACATGAGAGGGAGCTGATTCCTCTTCTAGTCCCAGGACTTAAAACCCAGGATGAGATGCCTTGAATAACTATGCTGAATCCCTTCCTTCATTAGGGGTAAAGGAGATCCCTCGCTGCCACTTTCTGTTTTTCCTGACTAATGATGGGACAGGGCTAGTTGATTCTTATTTCTAGCTCTTTCTCTGAGAGAAGAAATCATACTATAGAAAAGAAGAGTATCTCCCTAGCTGATGAATCACCAGTGATGACTTCATCCTTTTTCACAGCAGGTTCCCCTGGAGACAGAAAGACACCTCAAGTGAGCACAGAGTGGGAAGAACCAAAGACACATTGAGCTTGTCCTGTGCTGCTGAGCTGAGGCTGAGCTTCTGGGACGGACGGAGCTCATGGCAAGTGGGCAGCACTGCAGAGAGACAGCTCTGCCCAGGACCAGCTCCTCTGCAAAGGACATCAGGGCTGAGGACACTGCCTGCAGGCAACGAGGGGAGAGGAGCAAGGCAGAGATAGATTACAGGCAGTCTGGGGTGGGAGGATGCTGAGAGCTCACTGGGGGAGAGACCTTTTCAGCCATTGACACGGTAAGTCTCTGCATGAAGGACAATGTATCTGCAGTTTGTGGAAAGATCTGCTAAAGCTGGCACACCCCACAGGCCATGGGATGCACCATGAGGAATATCACCATTTCTCTGTTGTAGAAGATGAAGATGTGCTGCGAAACAGTGACTGCCTGCTGCACCCTCAGAGGGACAGGCCATGACAGCTCCCTTATCCCAAGGATGGCAAGCTGTCCATCGGAGCAGGGTCTCTGCACCCCAGGGACTATGTGCTGGGGCAGGGACTCTACTGCCTGCCAGGGTCAGCACTCATACTGCCCAAGGAGCTCACGGAGAAGCTGTGGGTGGAAGAAGCGACACTTGGAAGGGCACGGTCCTTCTGCTTCATGGGTCAGGGCTTCTCACAGCTCCAGATCACCCCCATGGCATTTCCAAGGGAACTATTCAAGACAGAGCTCCCTGATAGGGAAGGTGTCTGTCTGCTGAGGTTTCTCTTGGCTTTCTGGGTGGGCACTCAGACATTTCCAAGGGGATTTTTTGTTTGGAAAGTAAAAAGAGGGATGACTGTAGAGATGAGAAGCTTTCCTGAGTCTGCGTTTTCACTTTCCAGCTCTGGGGACCACAGACAGCACCAGTATCCCCTTGCCAGTTTCATCAGGGTTTGTGTGAGCTGCCCTTTAGTCCCTGCACTCACGGAGAGGCTGCAGGGCAGAGCTGGGCACATAGGAGCTGGGCTGGGGTCTGTGAGCACTGGCAGGGAAGAGAAGTGGGGCCAGAGCAAGAGCTCCTAGCAGGGGCGGCTCCAGACAGTGGAGATGGGCAGGAAGGGAGAAAACTGCTCATGGAAATCCTGTTGCAGGGGAGATATGGGCACCTCCTGGCCACGGCCTGCAGTGCAGATGCCTTCCCTGAGCAACACCCTTCCTCTCTCTCCTCTACCTCTCCCCTTGCTTCTCTCAGCCAGATCCTCACTATAGTCTTCCTTGTTTCTCCTCTTGTCTCTTTTAAATTTGTCTTTTTGTTGCTGTCACACTCTCTGGGGATGGGAGTTTCGACTACAGAGTTGAACTCTGATCTTGTTTCTCCATTCATGCAGATGTGTCCATGGGAACAATTGTCCCACCTTCCTTCTAACTTGTGGGGCTGTGGGCAATGCAGCCTGTGGGTCTGTGGATGAAGTCAATTTTCATTTAATGATACTGAGATCTACCGCTGAGATCTACACAAAGATTGTGACATTTAGTGGTCTCTCTTCTCAGTAGTGTCTCCATCTCAGGAAGGTGCAAGCCAAGGGCAGTTCAGAAGAAGACAGAGGGACAGAACAGCTCCCCTATCTCTGCACTAAGATATGGGCAGTCCTTTTGCCTCATAGGACTGCTTCTTTTCTGCAGCAGAATTACTGAGGGTTTCTCACGTCCAAACACGCTCTCCAAGTTTACATGAGGGAAGCAGCAAAAACCCCAAACCTCTCAAAACTAGTTATGTTTTCCTCGTTCTTCAGCACTGCCGGTGCAGATGCTGAAAAGCCCTTCTGCAGTAACAGCAGGTTCCTCTAACAAAGTTGAAAACCTGCTCTGGCCTCTGACCTTACCGTTCCCATGAATCCACTGCTGCAGAGCAGGGCTAACTTCTGGGCAGCCAGTGGGGAGAGGTCCTGCTCCTTGTGGTACTCTCAGCAAAAACCAAGTAGACCTACAGCCACAGAGCTGAAGGAAGGGATCCTGGAAAAAAAATTTGGTGTGCATGTAACGGGGTGAGGGTCTAGAAGAAAGGCTTTGATTTTCCCCTGAGATGTCCCTCCTGACACTTCATTGATTCACCCTCTCAGAAAAGGATCCCATGCACTGAGAAAGCAAATGTCCAACAGTAGCTCCATCACCAACTTCCTCCTCCTGGCATTCGCAGACACACGGGAGCTGCAGCTCTTGCACTTCTGGCTCTTCCTGGGCATCTACCTGTCTGCCATCCTGGGCAATGGACTCATCATCATCGCCATAGCCTGTGACCAACGTCTCCACACCCCCCTGTACTTCTTCCTCCTCAATCTGTCCCTGCTCGACCTGGGCTCCATCTCCACCACTATCCCCAAATCTATGTCCAATTCCCTCTGGGACACCAGGGCCATCTCCTACACAGGATGTGCAGCTCAAGTCTTTCTGTTTGCCTTCTTCATTTCAGTAGAGTTGTTCCTCCTCACTGTCATGGCCTATGACCGCTACATTGCCATCTGCAAACCCCTGCACTATGGGACCCTCCTGGGCAGCAGAGCTTGTGTCCATATGACAGCAGCTGCCTGGGGCAGTGGGTTTCTCTATGCCGTGCTGCACACTGCCAATACATTTTTACTACCACTCTGCCAAGGCAATGTCATAAATCAGTTCTTCTGTGAAATCCCTCAGATCCTCAAGCTCTCCTGCTCACAATCCTACCTCAGGGAAGTTGTGGTCCTTGTGCTTAGTGCCTGTTTAACTTTTGGCTGTTTTGTTTTCATTGTGCTGTCCTATGTGCAGATTTTCAGGGCCGTGCTGAGGATCCCCTCTGAGCAGGGAGTGCACAAAGCCTTTTCCACGTGCCTCCCTCACCTGGCTGTGGTCTCCCAGTTTCTCAGCACTGCCATGTTTGCGTACCTGAAGCCCCCCTCCATCTCCTCTCCTTTTCTTGATCTGGTGGTGGCTGTTCTTTACTCAGTGGTACCTCCAGTAGTGAACCCCCTAATTTACAGCATGAGAAACCAGGAGCTGAAGGATGCTGTGTGGAAACTGGTGACTGGATGTTCCTAAGAAGCAATACACTTCCTGTCTTCTGCATATTTCTCGCATTGTAATACACTGCAGGATCAGGCTGCCTTTGGTCATTGTTTTGTTTGTTTTAATTTATTTGTTCAGTTTCTTGGTTTTGTTGTTGTCCTCTACAAAGAATTGCCATAATTCCTGCTAATGCTGTTTCATTATCTACATGTTTTGTGTAACCCAGAGACTGTGTAAATGAAGAGCCATGTTCTCGTTATGCTTAAAGACAATAACGGACCCTGCAGTTACTTGTTTGTGCAAGATCCTTCTTCCAAGACTTTCTCTGGAGCTGCAGGGGCATCTCTAAAGGGGCAGGGGAAAAGAGTCCCAGCAAAGCAGCAGTGCCAGGGAGCACCAGCACTTGGTCTTTCCTGAGCTGCTTTCTTTCCATCCCCCAAAACTCCTTCTGAGCAGCTGTGTACTGTAAGGCCTAGGCGCTACTGCAGCTTGGTCACAATCCTGCCGGAGTGAAAGGGGATTTCCTCAAGGCAGTGCCTGAAGGCTTAGAACTCTTTCTAACAGTGTTCTCAAGAACATGCCCAGGAAAGCCCCCTGGAGAGGAAAACATAGTAAAGAGCTGAACTGTGTGAGTGGGAAGTCTGGGTGGACACAGCAGTGTCCTCACACAGACAACTTTCCTGAGAGAGACCTGAAGGACCAGCGGAGAAGTGTCTGGTCTGTGCCTGTGTTCACTGGACACCCTGGGCAGGATCCCCCAGGGTAGTTGTCCTTTACCAGCCATTAACAACAAGAATTTCCAGCACTGGTTTCTCACTACATCTTGGAGAGTTTCTTTAGCTCTCCATGCAGGGACACAAAACGACAGTCAGAAGATCAGGTTTGTGTTGCATGGTCAAGACACAACCATGCACACTGTCTGCTAGTGGAGAGACGAACCCGAGTGAGCACAAATGCCATCAGCTATGCCTAGAGGTGGCCATGAAGGCCATGAAGTCTTCTGGGACAGATCGTGTCTTCAGGTCACTTCACTTTAACCTGTAACTTACCCTGGGAAACCTCCTGAATGTGTCACTGTCATGTAGTTCCTTGAACTGAGGTCCACGTTGCCATTCCTCATGCCATGGGGAATCTCAGATGCGTGCAGACCAGGGCGGCACACCACAGGGTTGAGGTGCCTCTGGGAGTGGCAGTAGGAAGCCAGGGAGACACTACACTTGCCGCAGTGCCCTGCCTCTGCCTCTGCTGTGCAGGGAAGCACTTGTGTCGCTGAACAGCCCTGTCAGTGCCCTGACATTCGTGGGAGCGACTCCAGGAACAAACCCCACCATTCCAAGAATATTTCTCTCACCTGCCTTGTAAGCGTCATTGCAAATGCCCCTGTGCTCTGTGTCACCCTCCCTTGTCTTTAGGGCTCATCCCTTTTATTAGAAAGAAACACTTCTGCAGAACATCTCACCAATGCAGTCAGAAAAGGTTCTGCAAGCATGAGCAGCATTGCCCTGTAGAAGACAGCATTTCTTTATTTTCACAAAGCACAGAGCACACCTCTCTAGGTAGGAATGCAGTCAGAGGCTCACACCCCTGCATATTTCCCCCCTTTGAACTTCCTTGACAATTTCTGTAAGCACCTGACAGAGAAACAAATGCTCTTACTCATAGGTGTCCTACCAGGAGACAGGGGGCAGGAAGACCTAAAACTTCCCATGGATAAGGGGGGGCTATGACAATCGCACATCATCAAAGGAGTTTCCATAATGGGAATGGGGAATCCCCCAACCTTGAGAAAAATCTCTTCCTCCTCTCTCATGCCCTGCCCCATGACTGTGGATGAGAACACTCTCATCATGGGGCTGCTGCTGGGAATCTTGGAAACCTGCTACAGCTCCAGCACTCTGACTGTCCCCTGATGGTAGGGATGACACAGTGTCTGCTCACAACAATGTTAGTGCCCTTTCCTGCATTTGTTGCATGTATGGAATGTTTCTTGCTGGTGGCAACATCCTACGAGTACTTGGATGTCTGCATGACCTTGCTCTCTGCAAGACTTGTGAGCTGCAAGGGCTGTCTCCAGAAAGCAATTGCACCTTGCTAAGGGGATTTCTGTCACCTACACTCATTATTTTGTTCTTGACCCAGATACAATTTGAGGCCCCCGTGTAGCAGATCAGTTCTTCTGTGATTTTGCCCCACTGCTGGAACTCTCCTGCAGTGACACCATGACACTCTTGATCTTTGATTTCACAACTTGCTTTTGAGATTCAGTCTCTTCCTGTTCAAGCTGGCATCCTATGGGTGCATCAGAGCTGCCACAAGGTGGCAGCTCTCCCGCCCAGTCTGGGCAGGCAGAAAGTCTTCTCCACCTGCTCCTCTCACCTCACTAGTGTCACTCCTTTCTACAGCATCCCTCATCCTTGCCTGTGTGATGCCCAGAACAGCCCTACTGAAAGAGAGTTTGACAAAGACGTTTTTCTACACCATCCTCGCCCCTGCTCTGTCCCCTCATCTACAACCCGATGACCTGAAAGTTACAGGTCAGGGGATCACTTAGAAAACCACTCAGGAATGCTGGGGGCTGCACAGAACGCCTAT